TTTATTTTTATAGACTTGCTGACTGTTATGATTCTGAAAAAAATCCCTTGTTTTACGCAATTAACAATTTTTATAAGTATCACGACAGACTTCAAGAAAGTCAACTGTTAATACAACCACAGTCAACGAATAGAAAATAGTTTTTTTGTTTTGTGTAGAAAAAGACCCCCTGGGCCTGTGCCCGCATATGACCTCAACTTCTTTATTGTGTCAAAAGTAAGGGGTGGGCGTTTGTCCAGGCATGGGCTCTTACCAGGTAGCTCTTATTATGGTAACTCTTATTTGGTGAAGTCACCGTGATAGTACATGGTGGCTGGCAGGATAAAGGTTTATAGAATATATATATATTATTTGTGTTACTAGAGAGCCTGATGTAGCGATAGATGTGGTCGGTATTGCAAAGTCTCCTGGTATGCCTTATGACAGCAGTAAAGCAAGGTCTGTTATGAATGAATGTGAGAGACATGTTAACTTTGCCAGAACTACACCAGATGAAGGTCCAGAAGACTGGGAAGAAAGTGTAGCAGCTCTCAGGTATTAGTCATATGTCATAAAATAAAGGCCCTCTAACCTAGCTTGCATTGATAACATAGGTGGCCACCCAACCTACTTCACATTGATAACGGGAGGGCTTCCTAATTACACTCGCATTGATGACTGCTGTATGACAGCCTACGAGCATAAAAGACAGGCCTTCTAACCAGCTCACATTGATAAACAAGGGGCCCCTTAACTTAGCTAATTTTGATGACTGCTGTATATATCATTTACATGTGATTTGGCTGAAGTCACAATTAGTAAAAATGTGAGTCCCACAACAAAAATATAATGTATTTACAGTATTAGTAGTCTATTGACATTTAAAACTAATAGCTCAGTGTTATCAACTCTGACAGTAACTTTTATTGTGTTTGACCAGCTTCTCTTGGTAGTTTATTATCATCGTAGTCATTTATTTATTTGCTCTGTTTTATCATAGGATTGGATGGACAGCTCAACAAAATAAACTTTTTAATAAAGTTGTGAAAGCATTGAATACCGATAGACTTGCAAGATTAACGTATGAAAATGTAAGTGTCATCCTCTTTGCATTACTGACACTGGGGGCGCTGTTTCAAATGTTATTTTCATCAGGTCAGCAAGTCTAAATAGCAGCTCGTGGTATTTAGTTACTGTGTAAAATACTTTATTTTCAAGAGTTTTGTATGGAATTTATTTTCACAGATTTTTGATGAGTTAACTGTAAAATATAGAAATAATGGTATACTGTAAACATGTTTAAGGTAGAGATGCAGTTTATTTGGCTTGCTTTTTAATTGAGTAATTAGACAATGAAGATGGTATTATATATCCAACATGTTATATATTTTCTGAAAGCTTATTATACAAACTTTGTAAAACTTGTCTTTATTTTAAATATCCAGAATGCGTTTTTGATTTTGGGTCAAAAATATGCTTTTTTGGACAAAAGTGGTTTAAAAAAAATTAGCTTAAAAACTTCAAGTCCGTTTGTGGGTAAAATTACATCACTGGATACCTTGGTATACTACTAATTCAAATGCGTCCACTCATCTCTCTAACGGCTTTCAAAGTCGCACAGCATGA